GTTGCCTCTCATATTGGTGGTCAAGTTTTATTTTAGACAATTTGCATATAGCCAGGCTTTCTATTTTCCACTTGTTTAAATATATACAATTGTCTGCCTATGTGAATGCAATTATTTAAATTAAAATAATGGAGTACAATTGACGATTATTTCAACAAATTTAATTATTGCGTTGATTCCGCATTTGAGTATGCCAAGAAACACCTGAAAAACTTGTCTATATTGGAGATACATAATATGTTTATTTATCAACTTATGCACTATACTATTACTTAAGTATAGGTTCATGACATGTATGTAACAATAAGTTATTAAACTATTATGTTTAGATATTAGAAGTTCTATATTGGATTAAGATTATGGATGATTATAGCGAAACTGCAACTTTTCGATTGGATTTTTGTAGTACGATTTGTTCTTTGCTTCAAAATAGGCCTCAGCTTCGGCGATCACCTCTTCATTCTACGAAAATATATTCATAGAGGGCATTTTTTGAGATCTAAGAATAAGAAATAATCGCTGGTGGCCAAATCTGGAGAATATCGATGATGCGAAAGCAATTCGAAGCCCAATTCATGGATTTTTGTCATCGTTTTCACTGACTTTTGCGCTAACTTATTCTTAACATACCACCTTTTTTTCGTAAATTTCGTTCTTCTAATGGTCCATCAACGCTATTTATTATTATATTTTTTATTGTCGCTCTTGATCATCGCTGACTTTTCAACGTAGTTAATAAAAATTATTCTATGCGCAAACCAAAATACAAAATGGCAGATCAACTCATCGTTGTTTTTGCTCAAGTGTGAGCTTGCGCGTCCCATACTTCGAAGAAAGCTTTCTCAAAAAAATTTTGGAAGAATGGAGTTTTTTTTACATTTTTTAGACGATCCAACAATCGGTAACTCCCATCAACACCATCAACAGTTAATCTGTTTCCAAATTTTTTCAAATCAAAGAATTTCGACACCTTTGGAAGAACACCGTAAATATATTTTTTATTGACACGATTTTCCCTCTGCTTGGGGCGTTAACTCTTTTAGTAGATTATACTTTTTTTGTAAACTGCATTAAGTAAATTAAGTGCGATATTTATTCCTAAGTAAAAATGCTTTAAAAGTAATTTTTAGATTTAGGTAGGTGATAATCTATTAGCTTTTGGAGCATTTGTCAACGAGAGTAAAAGAGGATTGCACCGCGACCTAAGGTCTATTGTGCCCTCTCCTAAGTGACAACGAACCACTTAGCCCCAACATATTGATAAGTTCCAATATACTGCTAGGTGCTTTTGAGGCGATTTCATCCCTATTTGGAAACATGGATGCAAGGGCCTTTATCCTTTGTCTGCACACTGTCAGTCAATTAGTAGGTATTCAATTTAAATCATTTTCAAAACCGGCAATTTGCACAAGAAGCTAAGCCCTTGTTATATCAGTACTTCTTGAGCTTACAGCGGCCGGGGTAGTATGGGTTTTTCCATTGGGAGATTGTTTGCTGTGCCAGTCTTTAGAAATGCGCCGTTCATGGCATAAAATTTTTAGAAAATTAGAGGCTCGGCACTCTCTCGTTTGCTATATTTGTGTTCTGGTATTTGCATTTGTACTCTACTAGTCAATAAATTTAAATAAAGCTTTGGGTAAAGTTTAGGTAAGAAGATGGCATTGATCTCAAAACCATAAGAGAATTGAAATACAAACCCAGAAACAGAGCAAAATGTGAAGTTACCTACATTATTAACAAAACGTGCTAAGCCTGTCTCTTAGCTTGAACTATTCTCTGAATTGTAGTAAGATCTGTGGACCGCTTTAGCTAGAAGCAGCAATATCTTTCTTTTCCACCAGTCCAAGTTGTTACGAACAGCAATTGTTTGCTGGGTGTCTATGTAATTTCATATTTTTGTATTTCATTGCATGCAAATGTCTCTGCAACAGAGTTCGATATACTCGATTGGACTTGCGTGAGCTTGAACTAGGTTAAGATTTCTGCAGAATTCTTGTTGTCTTGCTTTTTTTGAAAAGTGAGAATGCAATGAGACTAGCAGCAAAAAGTTTGAGTTTTTACAAATATTTATACGAATAAGCGCATAAATGCAGCGAATGCGATTGCAATTATACAAAACTGAAATTTGCTTAATTACTGTGCATTTTTTGCGTCTGTGTGTGTATGTGTGAGTGCATTGCAATTGTCTGTTACTTCACTGCGATTTATTGCTCCAATTAATGCTTTGCCCCCATGCAACTACAACAACAACAATAGGAACTAATTTAACTATAATTTCATTAGTTATCTCATTGTCATTTCACACGAAGCAACAAAAAGCCATCGCGTGTCGATCGAGCAGCAGCCGAAGCGCACATTCACTGCCACATAAATTCACTAATTTCGCAATAAAGACAAATAGATGCAAATGAAATGGTTGGAAACAGGCTTGCACACGTACATATGCATGGGTGTGTGTAAAGAGCGTATTAATTTCGACTTCAATGCATGCATATGAGTATGTGTGTGTGTTAATGCGCTTTGTCTAGTGTGAATTTTATCTGCTTTTAGAGCGTGTTTTTGCATTTGAATTAAACGCTTTTGAATGATTATTTCAGCAAGGGCAATAGCTTTCGTATCGTTTGGCAATCTCTTTGATGCGCAGACACACTTATGCACATACATATGTACATATGTATGTATTAAAAACCAGTATGTAAGCAAATTGTGAAAAGTCCGCATTTTAAGTGTTTTCATACCCTGCACAAGGTATATTCAGTTTGCCGGCGCGCTGTTGTTAACTCGGCTATAATCGCGTAAGCGGTGTCTACGCCAATCAAGAAGAAGAAGAATGAGTTTATGCTTGAAAATTTTGTATATACATACATATATATGTACATACATATGTACTTGAATTCTTCTTCTTTATTGGCGTAGACAATATTTACCCGGTTATACCCGAGTTCAAAATAGCGCGCCAGTCGTTCTTCCCTTTTGCTGTTTGACGCCAATTGGAAAATGCAAGTATAGCCAGGTCTTCTCCACCTGGTCTTTCCAACGAAGTGGAGGTCTTCCTCTCCCTCCCCCGTCGATTACATTCAGAGCTGGAGCCGCTGACTTTTAAATTCGCAGAACTATGTGAATGTCAACGTATAACTCGTACAGCTCATCGTTCCATCAACTGCGGTATTTGCCGTTCCAAAGCGCAAAGAACCATACATCTTCCGCAAAAAATGTATCTTACTTATCTACGACTTCTAAGTTATGACTTTCAACAGTGATGTGCGCGCCAAGTCGCGATCGCTATGAGATATTTCGTCCTGCCCCTACCAGACCCATTTGCTTCACGTCCTTAACCAGTCCGGAGAAAGCAGAACTAACAGCGTGGTTGTTGAGGCCAATGATATCAATATCATCGGCGTACGCCAGCAGCTGTATACTCTTATAGAGGATTGTGCGTTGTGTATTCAGATCTGCAGCACGAATTATTTTCTCCAGAAGTGGATTGAAGAAGTTGCATGATAGGAAGTCGCATTGTCTGAAACCTCGATTTTTATCAAACAGCTCTGGAGGGTCCTTCCCGATAATTATGGAACTTGGAATCAGCTTATACAACCGTATTAGCTTTGTGGGGTTAGAGGCAGCTCTTTTCCGTGCTGTCAAAAGCAGTTTTGAAATAGACGAAAAGTTGGTGTGTCTTTTCCAAGATTTGACGCTTAGTGTATATCGGCTCAGTTGTTTATTTTCCAGGCGTAAGGCCACACTGATGGGGTCCAATCAGTTTGTTGACGGTGAGCTTTATATATTCTACAAAAAAGCTGATGCAGGCTACTTATCAGATCCAACAGGCTGGAGAGGTGTTCTCTCCATAATTTTAGTATGATCGGGTCTTGAAATCTTCATTTAGTCGATAAATCTTTCCGTAGATATTTCTACCATTACCCTCCGACTCTTCGTGCTAACGCATTTAGGCCTCTCTCTTTGTTTGTCTGCGTCTCGCTTCCCCCTTCAACTCTCGGTATCTAACCATTCCCGCACGTGTTGTCGATTGTAATGTTTTTAGGTAGGTAGTCAATTTTTAGGTCGGTTGTTTACCTCTGCCAATTAACCTTTTCTCTCAAAGTCCTGGGATGCATCCTACCCTCTAAGTAAAGGTTTAATTTCTTCCAAACTATTTAAGTACAAGATCCGTGTCAATCCCGGTAATATGAATTCTTGGGAATCACTCAACAGAAACTGCTTGTTTTCTGGGCTTTGGTTAAACAACTTTAACGACTTTGCTTTGAGTTACAAGCATAATGTTTCCTCAACTCTTTAGTTTTGAGATGGCTCCTTCGAGATAGTTCCACCTCTTTTTCATAAGGTTTTCATTAGTGGAAACATTACCCTTCTTGAAATGTTTTGATATTTAAGAATAAGTTCCTCACCTTGGTAATAAATAAAATGACACTTGACTCTGGGACGATATCTTATGACATGGTATGTCTTTTAGGTTAATTAAATACAAAAATCTGGAAATTTATTTCATTTTTAAAAACTTTTGTATAATAAGTCATTTACATTTCTCCTACCTCTTTCATGATCCCAGACAAAGATTGCGAACTATTACTTTTTTTGGAGGTCTTGTGACAAAAATCTAGATAGGTTTATGTACGAAAGTAGACGAAGTTCTTCGACACGATTAATTTGAAAATATTGCGTCTATCATTTTTGTTGTTAGCCCTTTCCACAGAAACTGCTTCATTAATAAGAAAATCGTTAGTATTTTGTCTTTACTGCTAGAAGTATGAAGAAGAAGATTGGGAAAAGTGCTTTCGTAAAGAGCAAAACATTAAACAAGTTTCAGAAATCAATTAATTTATAATATTATTTATGAATTATTATAAACTTTCGAATGATTTCAAACAAATCAAAATTATGAAAATAGGAATTTTGCGCTTTGCATTATTTTTTCATATTTAAGTAATTTCCGCCCAATACGAAACTTCTGATATCCCAAATTTATCATCTTTAATATTTAGCAATAAAATGCCATTAAACTCAATGCCAGCCACTTTCAAATAGTTAACAAATAATAAAAACAAAAACGAAATAATCATAGTGCAATTACAAAAACAAAACAAAAAAAATACACACGAAGCTAAGCGAAAAATGTACCCGCAATCAAAAGTGCCACCGGTTCGACCGCGTTCCAGTTTATCAACAGACGATCATCATTATCGCATACGTGACTGTGATGCACGACATGTACGCAAAAAACCGAATAACGCGTTCATAACACTTGTCGGTTTCTGTTTGGTACTTTTCGTGCTGTGCGTATTCCTACTGGGTGCGCTCATTTACGTCGGTAGAAATATTGTGAACGCGCCCGCTTATACGTCAACAGCTGTGGCAACACCGACAGCCGGCGAATATATGACAAACGAACAGCTGATATTACCAGCAAATTTATCAATTTTGCGAATTAGAACAACAACGGATTATTCCACATCCTCGGCGACGCATTCAACGTCCAATATGAATATGAAATCAGCAACTTTAGCTATTGAACCAGCCATAGCAGCCGCTTCCAAAGTATTGCAGAAATTAAGTTTTCGTCTGCCAAAAGAAATTCGACCACATCAGTATAAATTACTATTGCAACCCGATTTGGTGAATAAAACATATCAAGGCAGTATTACAATTAAATTGGAAGTGTTGAAACCAATTTCTTATATACCAGTACATGCGAAAACATTGAATGTAACCACAGAAGAGGTTGTTCAGTTGAGTGAAGCTGGTGCGCCACTTAATAAACTGACGCCCACTCTGACCTTTGCACACCCAGCTTTGGAATATTGGGTGACGGAATTCACAGATCCTTTACAAGTTGGCAACTATTCATTGCGATTGGCATTTAACGGTTCGCTAACTGACCGTATTGTTGGCTTTTATGCGTCTTCATATTTGGATACCAAAACAAATCAGCGCAGGTGTGGTAAAGCGTTTACGATTTGCTCAAAAAATTACGACTTTTTGAATTTTACAGATTTAATTTTTTTTTTATTCAAACTATATAAAATGTCTTATCATATTTAACTTGTTTAATTGCAGATGGATAGCCACCACAAAATTCGAACCGACTTATGCGCGCACTGCCTTCCCTTGCTTTGATGAACCGGCGCTGAAGGCCTCCTTTATCATCACAGTAGTACGCCCCACCAATGGTGGTTATCATGCGCTGTCCAATATGCCTGTTCAAGTAAGTTTCCGAATTCCAAAACCAAACTGAATTTGTTACAAAAATGCATGTGTGCATTATATTTTAGGATGAAGTAGTGAACGGTGATATTACAGAAGTAACATTCCAACAAAGTGAACCGATGAGCACCTATTTAGCCTGTGTGATTGTATCTGATTTTGCTTCTCAATCTAAGACCGTTAATGGTACCTTATCGGATGCTCAAGATTTTGAGATGCGCGTTTTCGCAACATCCAATCAAATTGAGAAGGTTTCTTATGCTTTAGAAACCGGTGTGGGCATTACGGAATATTACATTGACTATTTTAGAGTAACATATCCGTTGCCCAAACTGGACATGGCTGCCATACCAGATTTTGTATCGGGTGCTATGGAGCATTGGGGATTGGTGACATACCGTGAGACTGCGCTGCTGTATGATCCAACAATCAGTTCGAGTGCAAATAAGCAGCGTGTCGCTACAGTAGTGGCGCATGAATTGGCACATATGTGGTTCGGAAATTTGGGTAAGACGTTTTGTTGTTTATACATATGAGGTATATGCTAATACCAAAAAGATGAAATTTTTCTATTAATATTAACGCTGTGTGGATTTATTGCTCGATAGTACCCTTCGTATTCATGTAATTTTTCAATTGCGTTTACTTGTGTGCTTAGTGTTTGCTTAAATAATTGTTTACTACTGTTTTTTTGTTGCCGGTAGCAAATTGAGTGCAATTAGCAACGTGTTCGGAATTTTATTTGTAGTGGCCTTGGTACTTTCAAAACAGTTATGGCTCATGTCTGATAATTGATTCACCAATAGTAGTTTTAATATTATCATTCCTTTCTTTTTATTTCTATACAGTGACCATGAAATGGTGGAATGATTTGTGGTTAAATGAAGGTTTCGCCAGCTATATTGAGTACAAGGGTGTGAATAAAGTGCATCCCGAATGGGCTATGGTAAATTGATTTTAATATATTTATATACATTCTTCTTAATACTCAATTGATTTTATTTTCTGTTTTCATATCTCAGCTGGATCAATTCATTGTTGCTGATCTGCATGATGTACTCGAACTGGACGCCACGTTGGCATCACATCCCATTGTGCAGACGGTGGAGAGTCCTGCGCAAATCACAGAGCTTTTCGATAGTATTACATATTCGAAAGGCGCCTCCGTTATACGTATGCTGGAAGATTTGGTGGGTGAGGAGAAATTCCGCAATGCTACCACGAACTACCTTACTAAATTCTACTATGCCAATGCTGAGACAGACGATTTCTTAACCGAAATTGAAGCATTTGAATACGATTTCGATGTGAAGTGAGTGCAAATAATATTTAGATTTGTAAATTCTTATCACGAAATATATTCCGTAGATTAATTATGCAAACATGGACCGAACAAATGGGTTTGCCGGTTGTTGAGGTTAAGAAAGATGGCAATACGTATACGCTTACACAAAAGCGCTTCCTGGCAAATCCAGAAGACTACAGTGCCGATTTTGAAGTATCCAAGTTCAAGTGAGTATATTATATGATCACATAAAAAAATAAAAAATTTAAATGCACAATTTATGGTTTATATTGTGAGCACGTTAGTTTGAGATTTTTCTATTTTCTATTTTAATAAAACGCACTTAAATGATTTGGTATGTAACTATCACTTTTAAATTGTTTTTTTTTTTTTTTTTTGTTCAGCTACCACTGGTCCATACCAATTACATATTACACCAGCGAAAACGCTGAGGTTGCACGCACAATTTTCAATTACAACGATAATGAAGGTAAATACACGAAATTACAAGTCTTTTTTTTATTTTTTTATAAATTCCAATTATTTTTACACACGCAGTTAAAATAACGCTAAGTAACGCTGTCGATTGGATTAAGATCAATAAAAATCAAGTCGGTTATTATCGTGTAAATTATGCACCCGAACAATGGCAAGAACTGACAAATGCGCTGATTAGTGCACGTGGCCGGTTTAGCAATGCCGATCGTGCGCATCTCATCAATGATGTCTTCTCCTTAGCCGATGCCGCACAATTGGAATATGGTATTGCACTGAACTTGTCACTCTACTTGGAAAATGAACTGGATTATGTACCATGGAGTGTTGCCAGTGCGCGCCTTTCAGATATCAGAAGTCTACTCTACTATACAGATTCATATCGTGACTTTGTCGTCTTCGGACGGAAATTACTTGCGCAGGCTTATGAAAATGTTGCGTGGAATGTTAGCGGCGATCATTTGGACAAGTAAATTTTTTGTGTAGTCAAATTTTAGAAACAAATAAATATTTCATATAATTTCAGTTTGGTACGTGTTAAAATACTAAGTTTAGCTGGTCGTTTCGAATACAAACCAATGTTAACTGAAGCCGCCACACGCTTTACGGAGTGGTTAAGCAATCCCAGCGTAAGACCCGATCCTGATATACGCACGATTGTATATTATTATGGCATGCAAAGTGTGGGCAATGAAGATTATTGGAATCAAGTGTGGGAATTGTTTATCAGCGAGTCGGATGCGCAAGAGAAAGTCAAATTAATGGAAGCTTTAGCGGCGGTGAATTCACCATGGATTTTGCAACGGTAAATACTGCTGATACCATTTATAATATTATATCATTAGCAATTCTCATATTGATATTAATCACTTATATAGTTACATCAATTTGGCCTGGAATGAGAGCTATGTACGCGGCCAAGATTACTTCACTTGCCTTACCTACATTTCTAACAATCGCATTGGTCAAAGTTTAGTGTGGGATTATGTACGCGAGAATTGGCCACGTTTAGTTGAACGTTTTGGCATCAACGAACGTTATCTCGGCCGTTTAATACCATCAATTACGGCAAGGTTTGTTACACAAACAAAATTGGAAGAAATGGAAGCATTCTTTGCGAAATATCCTGAAGCGGGTGCTGGCACAGCTGCACGCAAGCAAGCATTAGAAACAGTCAAATTCAATATTAAATGGCTGCAGCAGAATAAGGCGCAAATAACTCAATGGTTGGCCGAGCAAAAAGCGGCAGATGCAAGGGCGAGCATTGAATACTCTACAACAACAACAGAAGCTACTCGCATCTAAAGCGTCGCTACAGCATTTGTTATTGTTCCACCCAAAGTCATCATAGCGTGAATTTATGAAAGCTTTTGTTTATTTTTATATAAATATAAATAGTATTTTAACAGATGTATGAATTTATGTAAATACTTTGATGAAAGTGTATATATTGTTAACTTTTATTGAAGTCGAAAATTGGAAATGAAGACAATAAAATGGAATTGTTTGTACAATTACAAGAATTTGTTGCGAAATTTGATGGCTTTTAATGCAATTGCATGAAATGATGTAATTATTGTGGTTTTTTGATGTTAATAATATGAAATGCATATATTGGAGTTCACTTATAGAATAATATACAAAACATACATTATTTATAGCACTCACCACATAAATTCATACGAAATCAGCTTTTGTAGCCTAGAATTGCTGCAATTTTTTTTTTTGCGTTTATTCATGGAGACTATAATTATTACAAAATTAATACATTTTTACTTATTTTAGCGGAGTTATTTCGCTATACGCACTTTTATGCACTATATTACACAAGAATTTGATTGCTGTCTCCTTCCAATGCCTTTCTTGTCAAATATCGACAAGGGTAGCTTATTTTCACAGAAGCACTTCATTTACTTGCTTCCTTTAAGGAATATGCTTCACAAAGAACAATTGAAGATTTTGATTTTTTTTTTAATATGTATATTAACTTGTCAAATCATGGTGTTACATACACCATGTTGCGCATACGTCACCAAATTACAAACTTATCTCATCTTGAAGAAATACGCATGCTTTGCCTATATGTAAATATACTCCCGATATGATAATCACTACATATGTATGCTATGTATGCCTTTTACACTAAAACTTTATATTAAAAAAGAATTATCACTATTTTCACGATTACATTGGCGGTACACTCGTTTAAAAACGCGGAAACTAACTAAATCAGCTGGGAAGCGGATACAGAGTCGTAATTACACCGGAATGTAAGTAACAAAGGGGGGAATGAATTGTAGAATTGAATTGTGCAATAATATGATATTAACTAAAAAAATTAAAATTTATTGTTATTACAATCAGTTAGTTTGATAAATAAAAAAATATATAAATTGTGAGGAAAAAAATTTATTTCACCAAACATTGAAATTTTTAAAACCTGTAAGACTTGATACATAAATATTAAATTTTAATTAAACATTTCTAAAATATCGGTTTTAAGGTTAAAATAAACAAAATTTTAATATAGCGGGAATTTAAGACACAGTTACATAGGATATTTAAGTAATATTTTGAAATTATAAATTGCTCAGAAAATCTATAAATTAGGATCTAAAACTAAACATAATACTAGGTATAATATATATCGAAAATCAGGCTAAATATTTTATTATATTTTATAACTCGAATACAACCATGTATTCGACTTGCAGTTCTTTTAGTTAGTTTCCGTACTTTCTAACGAGTAATCGGCCGGTTTAAAAGTAGTAGTTAGCGCAATTATTTTGATTTCTTCAAAAAAAAAAAAAAGCTTACAATAAACAGAATTCTTAAAATATATATGTTTTTCGGAAAAGGAAGTGTGTTGTTCTGTTCACAAATGTGAAATTTTATTTTTGTGCATTTATAGAGAAGCATCTTGCGCAGTATGTGAGTAAAGCTGCGCAGTCGACGAGTAGCGGCGTAGTGAAAATAACGTTTGCTAGTGTTATTTATATGTAAGTGTAAGTGTTTATGTAAAAAAATATATACGTTACATGCGTATGTCTAAAAGTGAAAAAATCATTCCAAGTAATTGTAATTGAAAGCAATTCGTGTGAATTTATTTTTGCATTAAAGTAGCGAGTAGCAAGGCTTTTGTCATAATTAGTTGGAATGCGACGATTAAAGTTAATTCAAATTGGATCGCTCCCTAAAATAAAACAAATAAAATAAAATAAAATAAAATAAAATAAAATAAAGTAAAATAAAGTAAAATAAACATGGCTTTAGACCTGGCAGTTCAACTCTATAAAAATGTCTTTGAAAGTGTAGAAGTCGCACAGCGTAAATGACATAAATACAAAACAATAGTGTTGCTGGCAACTTTAGATATTCGGAATGCCTTCAACAATGCTAGATGGATTGATCTCGATAAAAGTCTTAAAATTCTACCTCAGAGCTGTACGGACCTTAGTAACAGAAAGCTGCTACACTAGAAAGGGATAACGACGGATAGCGGTCAGGTCAGAGACAGCACAAGGATCCCTACTAGGACCAGACTTGTGGAACATCAGCGACGACGGTTTACTAGAATTGGAAATGTCAGACGAATTGTACTACGCGGACATCATTGCCGCAGTAATTACAGCAAGAGACATAGAAGAAGGGCGAGGAAAGCTTAATTAGGTAATGATACGGATGCAAGCATTGCTCGACTCACACAACCTTCAGCTAGCTACGGAAAATAAGCACATACCGCTCAAAATAAGTATGCAAACGACAGTTATTCTCAAGTTACAAAAAGCCGGACCTGAACGCAGGTACGCAGATGTAAATCTCTCAATCGAATCAATATGGAACGCCACACTGAAGTAATGCAAATGTTGTTCTCTTTTTAGTGACCTGCAAGTGGCACATACCGTTGCTGTGACGGCAGTACACTCTCGATCTCTCACCGCAAAAA